CCCTGGGGAGCTTCTACTCTGATTTATACAGTCACTGTATGTTGAAATCCACTCAATCGAGATGGGTTTGAGCTTCCAGAATGTAAGACAATAAGGGTGTTGTTGAAAGCCACTCTAAGTTGAGGCCAGTCCCTGGGGGCACAAAGGGTTACTAAATCACTTGGAAACTACCCAAAAGGCTGGCAATTTGAATTCACCCAAAGGTGCCTCAGAGGAAAATCTTGGCAACCCACTTCTAAAACGTCACAGCCATGAGAAACCGTATGGAAACCACAATTCTATTGGACACACATGGGGTTGCCATGCTTTGGAATCCACCAAATGGTAGCTGTCAGTTGAGTCTGTGTTGTGAAAATTGGGGACAGTTTGCTACTGCAGCCACAGGAAACTAATATAAAGGGCCAAGCGTGTTTGTGTCCTAGCAGGCTCCCTCTGGGCCTGGGCTGTGGTTGCCCCATGCCCCATGGCCACTGTAGGTAATTCTGGCAACCAGGTGTGGGCCAAGAACGGGTCAGGGAAGATACTCCCTCCAACACGCTGGCTTCTCACCTTTCAGCAGCAGAGCACAGAGACCAACTGCATAGACATGCCTGGGCCCAGGGTAGCGAGGAGGACATGGGTGGGTGGGTGGGGGTGTTGGGCAAGCTGTAGGTACCTGCAGGCATTTCCAGGCTGCCTCTCGGTCACCTGCAATGCTGTCACTCCTCAGACGACTACTAGGCACTCACTGTGTGCTGGGTGCTGAGGGATGCAGATGTAAACAAATCAGACAGGAGTCTCCAGTCTTATAAATTCACATTTCTTTCTTGAAAATGCCCACCACGACCCATGGCAACCCAATCTGGGCTCTGGAGCCCAGGGGAAACAAGATATTCAGGTGAGGCCTGTGCAGGGGTTTCCCAGGCAGGCTTCAAGGAGAGGAACATGAGGGCTAGAGCCACCCTGCCTACAGGCTGCTGCCCACTGGTAGGATCAGCTCAGTCTTGAGCTGGCAGACTGCTAGGAGGGCAGGGTAAGGGCTGAGGAACACCTGTAGGGGGAGAAGGTGCAAGGGCTGGCCCTGAGGGATATAAAGAGATGGAGGTGACAGGATTTTGGAGGCCAGGCAGGGAAAGTCCAGGAGCACCCCCTCCTCATCCCCAGCCACAGTCTGTCCCAGAGGGCAGCCTGGCCTCCCTGAACCCTGGTGACCAGAGTTGCCTCAGAGCATGCTGGGGGAATCCCAGAAGTCACACACTACAAAGTTATTTGAGGCTCTGGGGTGGGACTCAGGCCCCCTCTGGCAGTTCCCAGCCAGGAAGGCATCATTCAGAGTGGCAGTTTACTCGGAATCAGCAAGGGGGTGGCAGATCCAACCTGCAGCGGAGTCAGGGTTATAGCTGTCCCGGAAGACCTCGGAGAGGCTGCACTGTCGTGGACCGGTTCTTGGGGTGTGGTGAGGGGGACGACGATAGCAGCACGACCCTACAGGAACTGGACTCAGGGGCTTTCCTCTAGCCGGGCGCCCGGAGGTACCCGGGCCAGGTGTGCCTCCCAAGTAGAAAGGATTTGTGGGTCCCAGATGGGGGCTGTGCTCAGGGGCAGGTCTGTGCTCCGTGGTGACTGGTGACGCTAGCAGCCTGTGGTGCCGCAGTGGTGGTGGAGGCAGCGGCGCCCTCAGGAAGTCACTGTGCTGTCCACACCCTCCTGTTTCGCGCTAGTGCTGATCCCCACCAGGGCTCCGACGCCCAGCGCCGCGCCCCGCTGTTCCCCGGCAGCTGCTC